TAAACCAAGGACAGCCCCACAACAAAAGTAAAAAAGAAAAAACACTTAAGCAAGACACAAAGACAGACTTCCAGTTCACCAATGGCAAACAGTAGGGCAAATGAGGATGAAAAGGCCGATAGTGAACCACCAGGACACCTTGAACTCAAAGCACAGGAAGTAACAAAACAGATCAATCAGGCTCTAGAAAAATTCAAAACAGAAATAATTTCCCAAATAACCACAGAGATGGAGAGCAAAATAAAAGTCGTGATTCAAGACTCTAGAGCTCAGGACCACGATAGAAGCCATGAAGGCCCAGCATAAGAAAGAAATGGAAAAAATAAACACCCAACATAGGAAAGAAATGGAATCCATAAAACAGATTCAAACAGATATCCAGGAGATTAAACACTCCATTGAAAGTGTACACAACAGAATAAAAGAATGCGAAGATAGACTCTCAGATATAGAAGATAAGATTGCAGTCAGTGACCATGAAAAGAGAGGTCTCTTAAAAACAGTAGGGGATCATGAGAAATCAATCCAACAACTCCTAGATGATGCAAAGAAGAATAACATAAGACTGATAGGAATACATGAAGTAGCAGGAGAAAATACAAATGACTTTAAAAAGCTGTTCGCAGAATTAATGACAGAAAACTTCCCAAAGAGAGGGGAAGAATTTGACATTCAGATAACTCAGGCATATAGGACACTAGCCACAATCAAAAAAAAAATCTACACCTAGACATACAATAATCAAGATCCCAGAAACCCAACAGAAGAACAAAATACTACAAGCAGTAAGAGAAAAAAAAAAAACAAATCACATATAAAGGAAAGCCCATCAGAATCAAAGCAGACTTTTCAACACAAACCCTTGGGGCAAGAAGAGCCTGGAATGAGATATTTCAAGTACTAAAAGAGAACAACCTCCAACCTAGACTGATGTATGCTGCAAAATTCTCTTTCAAAATGGATGGGGAAATAAGATACTTTCACGATAAAGAACACCTGAGAAACTACATGAATATCAAACCAGCACCACAAGCAATTCTAAACAAGATCCTAGAAAAAGACAATGAAGGCAACAACACCATGAGGCCCAACAGAGCAAATCAAATAGGCAACGCAAGAAACTAAAAGGAGAAGGTGAAAAAGTAAAGAGAGTCAGCAAAGGACCAATAACATGACAATAATAATCAGTACATATCAGTTATAACCATCAATGTCAATGGCCTCAACTCACCAATCAAGAGAAATGGGCAAAATGGAATAAGAAGCAAAATCCAACAATATGTTGTATACAAGAAACACACCTAGTGCAAAAAGAAGCCCAGAGACTGAAAGTGAAAGGATGGAAAACAATTCTCTATATGACAGGAGCCCAGGAAAGAGCAGGGATAGCAATCTTATTTGCAGACAAAGCAAATTTCAAACCAAAACTGATTCTAGTATTATTGATGTAGGACGGTACTGTATCATACCTCTGTGAATGTAAAATATCTTGTACCTGCTTTATGATACGTAGTAGTGACCATGCTTTATCAGAGCTATTTTTAAAGATATTACTCTAGAATGTTCTCTTTCCAGATGATGATTAAGATGCTAATAAAAAAAAATGGTGCTAGGTACAACAGCTACAGAACTTTGCTGTTATCTGGATATTATTCTTTTATTTTTTTGTTTTTGTCTTTTTAATGGAATGAGGTGAATGTCTATAATTTTGTTCAGATGACTGCAGAACCTGGAGAAGCTGTTGTTGCTATTGATGCATAACATACTGCTATTATTGGTCTTTTTATATAAATATAAATATGTACATATACATAAAATTTGATTTTTTTGGAAACTTTAACTGTGCTGTCAACTTTGGAAAAAGTTATCCCAATTTACTGTGTTGAGTTGGCATTGTACAGAAATGGACAGCCATATTGGTCTAGAAATGTTAATTTTTTTAAATTTTTATTTTTTATTTTTTTCCATTTGTACAGGGGTAACACATTGTATTAAATATGTAAGGTCATATCTACGTGGGTTTGATTACAGAAACTAATAAAGTATTCTCTTTATAATGAAAAAAAAGAATAAGATAAGACTACAAGAGCAAGAAGCAATTTAAATATGTTCAGGGACCATTTTCATCTTCAGAATTAAGGATTATTTTAATCTTACATTATTGCCTTTTCTCTTTTACTTTCCTTTTTAGTTTTATTTTAGTATTCCCTATTTTTAATGTTCATACAGAGATTTCTTTAACTGAAATACTGAATAGTTTCTCTGGTGTGAAACACTATAATAGCACACAGGATCCTAATGAAATAATTAATAATGTGAAATAGGAAGTAAAGGGCTAAAGGTGTAGGGAAAGTGGGAAGGGTGGGGGAAAGGTAATAAGGGAGAGGAAAAAAATATGAGAAATTGAAAATATGGAAATAAAGTTTTTGTAAATGGGGAGGAGAGAAGGTGAAGGGACAAGGGACAAGGGGAAAAAATGAGAATCAAGACCTATCATGTAAAGGTACAGGATCCTAATAATGAATGTAACTGTATTGTATACCTAGATTGTACCAATAAACTCAATAAAAAGAAAAAAAAATTAAAAAAATAACTAGTAAGAGTGAACAAATAAAAATATCCTCAGATAAGTCTTTGAAAGATACCTAAAAAAGCTTTCCCCCTAAAGGAAAAGAAACAAGATATTTATTTAAATGCCCACCATTGGGTTTCACTGAAAATGTTCCTCTTTCAAGAGCAAAATATTTCTATTTTACTAACATAAATATTTCTAAAGAGAAAAGGAGAAATGAAATTTCAATTACAAATAATAGTGGGAACATTTAAAGACTATAAAGACACCTCAAGTAGGTAAAACTAATCTTAAGAGCAGGATGTAAGTAAATTTGAAACATTATTCAGAGGATAAAGTCCAAAAGAGGCACTTGGATTTAAGCCGCCTGAATCATCTTTTTACGAAAAAGAATATGGTCATTAGAAAGACAATGAAAGCACATGCCTATATTAACAGCTCAGTTTTTCTTTAATGGTATTTAAAGAGACTCATTTTTAAAATTGTCCCTCATTGAATTTAAGTAAATAAGCATATGACTCTAACAATCACAAAAGAAAATTTAAGCAATTGTTTGACAAGTTTTATAATTTATAGTCAAATGATAATTTCTGAAATATAATCCAATCGGTAGATTAGCCACAGCTTTTTGCTTGTCTGCCAGCAAATTTAAAGGCTAGAATTAATAGAATGCTAATTCTATAAGAAACAGTAAAATGACCATTATAACTAAAAATTCAAAAAATAACACTGTCTGGAATGCTTTAAGGTTTATGCAATAACAGAATGAAATACTAGAATGAGTTTTAGAGATCACCTTATCCAATTGTCAGGCTTGCTTTTGCCAGGGAATCTTTTCTGTAAAAAATTCCACAGGGAAATGACAGACACACAGTCAGTCGAGGGGACAAATAAGGGGTTGGTGGCCTTGCCTGCTTATGAAACTGCAAGGAATCTTGCAGGGCTTAAGGCTTCGTAGATAACACTATCGAGTTGATTTTCTCATGGAGACATGGGGACCCAAAGAAAGAGTAAGTGACTCGGCAAATGTCAGTTAGTACACCCGTGGCAAAGCCAGGTCTGAAACAAGAGATACCTATATTAGTCTGGTAGAGCTGCAATAACAAAATACCACAGATTGCAGTTTAATGGCAATTTCTCATAGTTGTTAAGTTTTAAGTACCACATCAAGGTCTAACAGGGTCAGTTGTTGGGGAGGCTCTCCTCTTGGCTTGGAAACACTACCCTGACACTGAGTTCTCACGTGGCTTTCACTCAGTGTGTACATGTGAAAGGAGCCCTCTCTTCCTATAAGACCAAGACGTCTGACAGAACTAAAAGTTGCTCCAGGTAGAGGTAATCACACAAGACAAGCCCAGTGGCAATAGAATTACAGGGTCTGTCTCAGGAGCTGCAAGAGCTGCTAGAGTGTAGTAAACAAAAGACAAAGTTGGAAAAAAGACATTACGAATCGTACGTACCAGACTGATTGAAAAGTTTATTTTAAGAATAGTCATCACTTTGTGTTTATACTTAAAATAACAATAAAATCCCTACCACCTCTGGAAGGCCAAAAAAGTAATAAAAAAGTTCAGCAGAAATGAGTACTAAAACAGGACACATCAGGGAGACTTCACTAAATACTAATTTTCTGTGTTTCACATGATATGAACATCTGCTTCTTCTAAAATTACTTATTTGGATATTATAGTGAAGAAATAAAAGACAAAGATTGTCATGCTGAATAAAAAACAAGATGCACCTGCCAAATCTTTGTAAAAGACATACTTTATAAAGAGCACTGATAAAATAAAAAGGAAAAAGTTACTGATAGCAATGTTTAAAAAGCCAGCAATGACTACATAAACATTGTACCAAAAAAAAAAAAGTATTACAGATGTCGAAGGATATTTCATAATACTAAAAGGATTCAATTCATGGCACATCAAACAATCCTAAATGTCTGCGCACAGCTAATATAGTTCAGAAATACATAATGCAAAAATTAAGTAAAAGGAAAAAACTAGACAAATCCATTAATACCTCACATAAGAAAAGCAAACAGTTATTAATATATAAATTGCACTAGAGTGGTTGTTCAGTGGTAGGAGTAGTTAGGTGTAGGTAAAAGTACCAAGAACAGGTGGGTATGGTGGTGCACAATTGTAATTCCAGCACTCAGGAGGCTGAGGCAGGAGGATCACTACAAGTTTAAGACCAGCTTGGATTATAAAGTTAGACCCTATCTCACAAAAAAACTTAAAAAAAAAAAGTAAGTACCAAGAACAAATCAAAATTGAATTAAACAGAAATGGAGCCTTATACAGACTAGTAACAGGATTCAGTATACTAAAGATGTATGCACTTCAGTTAGCTGAACATCAAATTCAAAAAGAGAAATTAAAGATCAAATAAAATTGATCAAATATACTCTATATGTCTTTCTTACCAGCATCACCGTTAAATTCATAATTCTTCCAAGGTTATCAATGTAGTACACACTGTCTTGATACCATGAATCACAGTGTAGGTAATTATACATCCCAAAAGCATGCATGTGTTCCAGTGTATACTGGCCATCTCGAAGTTTTACTTCTGCCACAGCTGAAATACAAAAAAACACACAATCAAGATTTTTATCTTAGATTGCTTCTTTTTACAAAATGGCTACAAGGCAAAGAAATCATACAATGTCAATCACAAAGATCTTCGGGACAATTCATTATATGATTCACGCAACTCTCTTTTTTCTTTAGGAATCTCTTAAATTATGAGTAAATAGAACAGAAATACAAAAAAAAAAAAAAGAGATGGGTTTCCTGTCTTCTGGGCAAATAATAAGCCCAATTTAGAAAGTGGTTTTAAACTTTAAAAATGTTTTTCTATTATCTAATTCATATTTAACATTCAATCACATAAATTTATATAATTTTAATGTAGTAAGTGTTATTATAATTACACTGTGATGTGATAAAGAAAAATTATGGATTCCATAATAACACAGAACATAGAGAGCTAATTGACTTAGGGAGACTCATGAAAACTTTCCAAAGATCCTGTCAAGATACAAAAGGAAGAATTTAAGAAAAAAATATACCTATGCATCCACACACACCCTTTTATTCATTTCAGGCAAAACGAAAACAGAAAAAGGTAGGAGGGAAAACTTGTGTTTGAGAACACAAGTTCTTAGTGGCCACGTGTAGCACAAAAAGTACTACAGCAGGGGTCAATCCAGGAAGATCCCTTAGGAAACCACTGCAGTGCTCCAGGTGAGAGATGGCTGGAGTTTAGAAACTTCAGAACTAAGTCATAATTTTATGAAAAATTTGGCAGATATTTAGGAAACTCCTGCTTAACTCAAAGAACTATTTATATTACAAAGAACAGTTAGAAATATATATATTTACTGACTAGGAGTGGTCTGCTAGCACCACTGTGTGGATGAAACTCATAAAGCAGGAAATGTACATGGACCTTTGAAATGGTTGAGAGGAACTCTTTTGCAGAAAAGTGAGTGTAGCATTCCAGTATTTGATGTTGTCTTGCATTAGAAACAAACTTTGCTTAAAAAAAAAAAA